TCAAATTTACCTGGTGAAGACTTCCGGACAATTAGAGTAGCTTTGGTTGCTCCTACAGGAAAAGCTGCTTATAATATTGGTGGCCACACAATTCACAGTTTACTGAAAATTCCAGCAAATCAAATTTTTAAATATAAAAGACTCAGTCCTGATGTGCTGAACAGTTTTAGATGCAAACTTGGATCACTGAAAGTTCTTTTTATTGATGAAGTTTCAATGGTTGGAAGTAAAATGTTAAGTTTTATCAATGAACGTCTGAAAAAACTGAAAAACAATGATAGACTGTTTGGAGGTGTTAGCATTGTGGCTATAGGTGACCTATTTCAACTGAAGCCCGTCTTTGATAACTGGATATTTGAAAATCCTGACAATGACTACTGTCCATTAGCTACTAATCTGTGGCAGAAACATTTTTACATGTATGAACTGACCGAAATCATGCGTCAAAAAGACAGTAAAGAGTTTGCAGAAATTTTAAATCGGCTTAGAGAAGGAAATCATACAGACAAAGATATAAAAGTTCTTAGCGAACGAGAACTTGATAAATCAAAAAATAACCAGCAATCATTATTACATGTATTTCAAACAAATGCACTGGTTGAACATTTCAATCATGCTAGTTACCAAACTGCAAAAGGAGAAAAATTTCAAATTGCAGCCACTGATGTAATCACAGGGCCTGTACCAAAACATTTAGAAAACAACATCAGAAAGCAAATTCCAATTGATCATAAAAAAACCATGAACTTACGAAGGATTCTGCACATTGCAGTTGGTGAACTTCCTGAGGACCACTTCAAAATAATCCATTGGAATTGCCGTTCTCTTCACAAATACATAGAAGATATCAGAAATAGTTATGATGTAGAGGAAGCAGATATATGTGCTTTCACAGAAACCAGATTTGCCTCTAAAGACTTGAGTATAAAATACCAGCTAAAAAATAAACATTTACACCGAAATGATAGTTCTGTCTACAGACAGCATGGTACTGCTATTTACAGTCGCCATAAATATGCAAAGAATTTTCCAAAAAATCTCAATTTCTCTGGCATTGAGATTACTGTCGCACGATTAAAACAATTTCCAGACTTTGTCATCATCACAATTTACCATCCTCCTCATGGTAAAATGCAAGTTCTTCTTGAGACATTGAAGAATATTATTGGGACTATTGATAAGACAAACAAATGCATTATTGTAGGTGACTTTAATGTCAACTGGCTGCATGAAAACAATGCTAATGCTCTCAGAAAAATGATGTGCCTTGACCTTAAGTTTAAACAGTGTGTCACTACTCCAACTACCGTTTATGAATCGGCCTTAGATCTTGTCTTTATAAACTTCGATCATGAAGAACTGAAAATTACAGTTTTGCCTACTTATTTTGGTGATCACTTTCCTGTCTGTTTGTCTTTTCCCAAATATTGTCTTAAAACATAAATTACAAATTTTAGAGAATTTATTCTTCACTTTTATGAACCTTAGGTACTAGTTCCAAAACATCAGTTGTTTAAAACATACATGTTCATGGCTAAACACATATAATATGCAAAATTATATTAAAACAACTCCACACAGAAAACCATAAAAATCACCCTGTTATTTACTCAAAATCCGAGGCAATGTGTCGTTAACAACCAACAAAATTTTCATGATTATGTATTTCCATGTAGGTTTTAGCCTGGTAAGCTTCTTTTCCCCTTTACAAGAAATAGTATTAGTTGGTTTGATCAAATTAACACATCTACCTTTAACTCTTAATTCTTCATTTATTGATCTTTAACACTTAAAATGCACAGTTTATTTCATTATATAAATATTGTGTTCATTCCAATTTATAAACATGCATTTAGTAACACCTTTCCATGTATTACTAGGCATACGCACGGATGCACTGTGCGCAGTTTTTCTTTGAGCAACCATGATATTATTTAATAGAAATTTAGTATAGATTTCACGGAATATAATAGAATATCCACTGCGAGTTAAAGCCACCTTTATGTACAAACCCTCTGTATCATTTGTATACACGGCATTGTTCTGACACCCCGTGTTGCATAACTTTATTGAACTGAGGTAAACAAAGCCTGTTACCTTTACAAGTCCTATCTTATTCGTCAATCTAACTGGAACATCATTTACCTCTTAATCAGGTGTTAAGTGGCCTTCAACTCCCCTGTAAACTTTTTGTTCGGAGTTCTCTAGCAATATTTATCTCCGGTAAAAATCTACCAGTGCGTTATTTTCAAAGAGCAACTTCAACAGACCTGGGGGCACTAGATAAAATCTGGACACCAAGTTTAATAAGGAGCTACAGGAAGAAGAATTTTTACTGCAAAGCTTCATAGGAATATTAACACGGACTTGATCCAGCTTAGCCCTCCAAACGAACAGTGTGACATTGGCAATTTCCGCAAACAAATAATTTAACTTAAGTTTATGTTTCACTTAACCTCGTTTTAAATAAATGTACAGTTCTGAGTAAATAAGAATATTAAAACTTTATTAAATCGCAAAATATTTTTGACTTACATGCTGATTTATTATTATTAGTGGAAATTAAGCTACCATATGTGGTACATATGCTGTCATTACGCTGTCCTTCATTCGTTGCGTAAGTTTACCTTTTAACGTGCTGTACATGCTGGGAATTTTAAAAATCTGCACGTACGATTTTAAATGGTCTGGTTACGCCCCTGGTTGGTGCTATTATTGTTTTACTGGATTTTAACATTTCTTTTATTATTCTGTCTCTCGCAGGTTATTTATTGTTTTGAAAGAAGATGACTCCCTTTACAGTTTATCTGTGGTTATCTCGTGATCTAAGAGACGGATATTGCCATTGCGTACCTCCATTGTTTGGAGCTGCGATTCAACATTCTCTTTGAAGGCGTTATCGAAATCGCTATCGGCTTTACTGCTTAGATTTTTGAAGTGTTAAAAATAAGTCAGGTCTACAGGGTCGTAGGCCCTATATAATCAATTATATCTAAGTAACCTACACGTATTTTATTTGAGTTAGATTAGGACTAGTATGAGTCACTTTTTAATTGGTATAACTCCGCCACTACTTTAAACATCAGTATTCAGGTTTTTCTCTTTTCTTTAATATATGAAAGCTTTGAAAGACATCAAATTCATTGACCGCACCTGCCCTCAACAAGTTGAAATGAAACCTTTCACACATTTGTCACCGTTATTATTGTATTTAGGTTACTGTAACTATCCATTTCACATACAGATTTAGCCCCCGATTATTTGAATACCTGCATTGGAGCTGTAGGCCCTATAAATTAACCAAACCAAAATAGTTGTGCAAAACTGTGCATGTTCACAATGATGATAAAACACTATTTAGCCGTAGGTGTTATCAACAGAGGGTAACGCTAAGAACTGCTGCTATTATGACACATCTGGCAGAAACAACTTACAGCGACTAGGGGAGCCCACCCGGCTTACACTAATTACATTTAGCTTGATCACACGAAGAATATGTAGAAAAAGCTTTATAAACTACCTCTCATCTTTTCTTCGCTCCATGAATATGGAACATGCAACTTTGTTGTCCATATGCTAGTGAAGAAGTGAATGCTTAAACTGGTCAAAATGTTAGATATAAATCTTAGCACTTAGAACCCTATTTTAATTATGGCACATCTAGTAACATATATATATATATATATATATATATATATATATATATATATATATATATATATATATATATATATGCTTTATTCATACTTTCTGCAACAAACTGACCTGGTGAAAATGAACAATATTTTAGCAATAGGATTTATAAGATTTATAGGATAGACAGAAACGAACATAGATAATCCTGTTGAGAAATGAGATGAACTGCGTCGCTTAAGAATTATTCATGCCCTGTAATAGTTGGGGATATTGTTTGATTTTGAGAAGTTTGAACGGTAATTCTGGTTTTTCCTTCTTTCCTAAATGCACTCTGTTAAGTAAAATCCTTCAATGTCGTTGCGTTAGTGTTCAAACAATTCCTAAATTGTTATTATTTCTTAAATGAATTAAAAATTTAAACATTCCACAAAGTAAGGTAAAACATTCATCATAAAATAATGAACATCTCTTCATTCAAAGCCCACGGATTTACACGCCTTAGGACTTTTCTTTTTAATGATTCAAAGCGCATACAACAAAATAATTAAAAGTAGCATCTCACACTACATATGTCAATTAATAACCCCTTTAGTATCCGTTACGTAATGTTCAACCTTGTTGCGCTCACAACAACATTATATGGGCTTTTATTTACTCTCTTGCAGATTTCCCAGGCCCAGGTGGCTCAAGCACAAAAAGAACATTAAGGCATCCTGCCGCGTCCGCTAAATAACAACTGTAAACAATTAAACAATNTTAAAGGGATAATAACTCTTCGTTTCGGCCAAAAAATGAATTTTCCTGGAGTAAACAACAATTTTCCCATACTTACCAATGGTTAATGAATCCATTTTTACATTCAAAGTTAGTCCCTGGTTTTTTTCTTAAAAGTTTGATTTTTTGTTAAAATCTCTTAAGAGATTTTAACAGAGTATAGCCATCAATGGAGGTCACGTGGTCTAAAGACAAGCTCAGATATCAGAATAATAGCTATAACTGTCGTTTTTGTGGTAAAACAGAATATATTATATTTCTATGAGTTATTCACAATGTTTTTATTGTGAAATATAGATATCATACGAAGAGTTATTATCCCTTTAAACAATTACTGTCTAATTCCAGATTACTATCTGCCGCTAACAAAATAATAACTAGTCCCATCACAAGTGTGAACTTGTATCAACGGGTTGCTTAAGCCAAATATCTTATTTGTCCAATTGCCAAGCAGATTTGAAATAGATAACTATTGGTCACTCAACCCCCTAAGGCTGTCATCTCCCACGGCTAATAAAAAGAAGACGCAGCTGAAACGCCAGCTACTCTGTACTAGGACTTATTCAGATTACAACATGCTTTCGTTGCAGCAAATTTCATCCACAACTTCACCTCATCCGTACGCCTCAAGGCTGAAAGTCAAAGTTGTAGCCACCGCTGATACAACGTCGTACACAGACAAAAAGGGAACATTGAAAGAAGTCACCGAAGTCGGCGTGGTCGACAAAACTGGCGCTAGAAAAATGTCTCTCTACGGAGCCAAACAAAAGCTGGTAGTGTTGGCGTGGTACATCATACAGCACTTTTTTGTCCGAGATGGTATAATCAGGTGCACGGACGCCACAAGGATTTTCAGGTAAACATTAATTTAATACGTACAAAATATGTATGCCTTAATTTCATTGATCACCCAAACTCAATATAGCGGTGTAAAGAAGGTTGCAGGTATGCTCTTTAAATGTTTGTCTAATTGCAAAATATACTTGATTGTCATAGCGTCCGATATAAATAAGTTTGTATCAACGTTTCACTCTCTTGGGACTATAATTGATAAATAATCGTAACTAACCAATACTCGTACGGAAAGCATATTTTTTGACTTGCTAGGCCTTTATCAAATTTGATGATTTCTAACACTTCATGCACATATTATCCTATCGAAATTTCGCTTTCTCTTAAACTTGGGCAACAACGATTAAGTGATAAAAAATAATGAAAAATTGATGTCACTCTCAATCCATTCCATTTTAATTTTGGATATAAAGCCTGTAAATTGCACTTCTACATTGGGTGTGCGTGAGATACATAAGTTAGGCTCCTGTTAGAATCACTATTAATTTTGCAGGCACACCTTTGAAATGTTCTCCTTTGATCATTTCAAAAACTGAATACCTTTCTTGCGTGCTAAATTTGAAATTGTGGTACATTACCTAACTTTCGAATAATTTCGTACAGAAAACCAATTTTTGACTAGGTAAATCTTTATCAAATTTTGATGATTTCTAACATTTTTTTGCTCACAATATACCAACTTAATTCCGTTTTATCTTAAATTTTTGACCACAACGTAAAAGTAGGCCTAAATTGAAATTCATGCTTACAGGTTATATTTTCGTATTTAGTTATGTTGTCTAGTATCGTTCATATTAAATAATAAGAAGCGCTTTAAAAATGATTCTTACAAATTAAATGCTCATGCAATAATCTGTATAGGCCCTAATCATTCTCAAAGATTGAACATTTTCCTGGCATGATAAGCCTAAATTGTTGAACATCTAAAAATGTTAATGTGCAGATTCCGAACTATATTTGATGAGCGTCCGGCATCAATAACTTGATATCGACGTTTCACTTTCATGCGGCTATGCATGATAATATAATGCGTCTTCTCACCCAAAAAATAAGCATAATGGCCGTCACGATTGCACAACGTCCAGCAGTTAAACAGTCTTATCACTTTGAAAATAGCATCATCACTGATTTTGTCCTTACATTTAATTTCGCAAAGATAACATTGTAACAAATTTTGACAATTTTCAATAAAAAACAGTTTCTTGTTTTGAATCACTTTCATTTGCTTCTCACTGATTATTAAAAAAATTTCAAAAATGCACCATACCGATAGATAAGCATTTATTACTGTAATTCACTCCTGATCCGAATATAATATCTGTAATGTGAAACTAGCATAGAATCGAAATATATTTGGCGATCAGAAACATGTACATTTTTCGGGGGAAAAATTATATAGTATTGAATATGACGCAAACCCGTAGCGTTACAATTAAAATAGTTTTACATTACTTCATGTTCAATTTTATCATCACTTAAATGCATAATTGTTTTTTTCCCGTAAATTGATAAAACAGACTGAAATGTCGTTAGAAACGATTGACGATGCGCAGAAATTGCGCTAGTCGTCAAATAACGTAACGGCCGATGCCCTAGTCAAATATAGTTGTTCTATATACGTTTAAAATAAATGAATATCTCTCTAAATTCTTCCATTTTAATTTTGGATAATAAGCCTGTAAATTGCACTTTTATTATGTACAGACACAGATGTGTCTGTACATATAGCCGTCACCTGCGTCTGTCGTCGCCGTTGCCATTGCCGTTGGCGTGCACTTTTACCGATAACACGATAAGTGGAAAATGGTTTTACCTTTTGGCTTGAAACTTACAGAACTGATGAATATTCATAATACGCAGGTCAAGTTCGAATATCAGCATGATTGGGCCATTTTTAGGGAAGTTATGCTGTTTTTTCACTTTTTTCAGCATATATACAGCACCGATAACACGATAAGTGGAAAACCATTTTACCTTTTGGATTGAAACTGACAGAACTAATGAATATTCATAATATGCAGGTCAAGTTCAAGATCAGCATGATGGGGTCATTTTTAGGGAATTTATGCTGTTTTTTCACTTTTTTCAGCATATATGCAACCCCGATAACATGATAAGTGGAAAACCATTTTACCTTTTGGCTTGAAACTTACAGAACTGATGAATATTCATAATATGCAGGTGAAGTTCGAAAATCAGCATCCTTGGGTTATTTTAAGGGAATTTATGCTGTTTTTTTCACTTTTTTCAGCATATATGCAACACTGATAACACAATATAAGTAAAACAGATAGGCCAATTGTCATTATACTCACAGGAGTAGTCAAACTAACTAAAA